ATCCCTAATCCTTAAGAGTGGTGCTTGGGACCCCCCTCCCTGATTCACGGGATCCGAGCCGTAATTAACAGTAGCCTTGGCTCTTTTAAAGCTAGTCTTGGGGGCAGATTTCAGAGTTTGGATTTCTGGGGAACCCGTATTTTTATATTGGTGGGTTTAAGATTCGGGGAAAGCGATTAACAACTTTGTCAAAGCACGGCAGAGGCCATAACCTGCAACAGCACGTCTAACTTGCCTGTGCTTCATTCAAGGCATCCGCGGGGAAGTGGCAAGGTGACGCCCGCAGTGCTGTTGCGCCGCTTCCCATTTATGTCAGGTGCCGAGCATCAAGAGGGTTCTTGTGTCATATGGAAGGTTTTGGAAGCATGCATGTCGCAGTGACCAAGCAGGTAAAATCACCCCAGGTGCTTGACGTTCATTTTGAAGGCACATGTTGCTGCTTTTGAGGTCTGAGTTCAGCGAGAGTGACATGTCCGTGCTCTTGCGTCGATACTCTGATGAGAATGGGGCCAGGGACTCCGTGTTGGCACGTGCGCTGCTTGTGCTTCTGCTGCTGATTGTGCCTGGTCTCATGCGAGATTCTACTGCAGAACTGATTCTCCAGACCAGTTTGAGCAGCATGCGTCTAAGACCGCTCACCTTCACTCCCTCGAGATGGATGTCCAAGACATCATGGAGGTACCGGTCCACAAGAAGCTCTAGCATCCATAGCGTTACTACCATAGAGATCAGCAAGGGTCGTCCTAGCATGGTTTTGCTAGCGGCCGGTAAGCAGGTGCCGAATAGCTGTGGACTCTTTGGTCATAGGTTTTGGAGGTTCTGTGATCAGGTTCAGAATTCTGCAGGTGGGAGGTAGATGTGGTGGAAACGCATCCGACCAATCCACCATTGCTGCACTACAAGACAGGTGTGGCATACAGCTAGGTCCAGCTAGGTTGTTCGATCCAAGGAGGGCACAAGCAGCTCCATCCCAAGCTGAGGGATTCGCCATGTAAGACAAGACATCCCAAGAAGGAATACCTTCATAATGAAAGTTATCAAATCTGCGCAGGCTGCCCGGGCAGAGGAGAAAGCAGCAGGCTCCCATGTGTGCACTTTGCAGGGTGAACCAAGTTCAAAACAGACCTTACAATGCAACTTGAAGGCTTCGGGGCGGCATCGGCAATGGCAAACCCATTGTCAGGCCTTATCAGGTCTGAGGTCTCAAAATTGTAGTGGCCCTAGGTGTGCCAAGAACTAGCATCAGGCTTGTTTCTGTGGGTCTGAAGGGGAGGTTCAACATGGTCCCGCTAGCATGTGTTTCGGGACTGGGTCGTACAGGATGATGGACTCTCTGCTAGCCGCTAGCTTTAAGCATTCCTAACGCTGTTTTACTCATCCGTTCATGTTAAGACAGCACAGGAAGACCTGAGATCTCTCTTACCAAACCCCATTCTTGGCGCAACATCAATTTCCTGAGATGTCCTTAGATTCAGATAGAGTAAGTCCAGAATTTGCAAGGAGTTTACAGTGACGATGACGACATGGACGATACACTGTCCCCGAGTCAGGACTTGCTGTACCAGGTTTGCCAAGATTCTGGCCATACAACCTTTCCTACAAAGTTTACCATGATATCATACAGACATGAGGCCCATGTTGTTTTGACAACAGCGAGAGCTAGTTTGTTTGCTTTCGCAGCGGGACAGACTTGGCCTGGAAAGCAGCATAGGCATGACGGTATCAGAATAGGCGGGGGGAGCCCGTGCGAGTTGAACGGTTCACCGGAAACTGCGGTTTTGGAGGGGAGCTGAAAGAGTGGAGAGTGGATTGAAACGGAATTCGTACTCCACATAGTGTATGGGAGAAGGGGCGGTCACAAATTCTCCTGCATAGCTTTCGTTGGCCGTGGCTTGCGTCTCGAGTCAGTCTTGATGGTCACCAAGTGGGATTGATTTTTGGCACCTGTTTTTTGAGTCCTGCGGGTTCGTGGGGCAGAGGAAGAGGCTCAGGCTACCAGGGCTGTGCATGAGTGGCTGCAAAGTCAAGCTAAACGGCTATTGTTGACAATGTGTAAGGCTGCTTGCAAATTCAGGAGACATGGGGTCAGGGAGAAGTATATTTGGAGCTTGCTGCAAGCTCAGAGTTTGGATATTTTGTCTGGTGTGTTGCTTCACAGTCATTTTGCTGTCAGGACTCTGCATCTCCAAACTTCCAGGAAGCCCCAAAGGCTTCGCTTATTGTAGGATGCCTACAGTTTCCAGTTTCACGGCGCGTTGAATAGCGATTTTTCCAGAAGATGCTAAATTTGAAAACCATTGCTTGACATCGTCAGCCAATGTCATTGTTAGCGCTTTGGCCCCTTAAGCCCAGAACATTAGTCTAGATATTCCTTCGGAGGCGGGCATGTCACCTCGGAGAAGACGGAGACCCACGCGCTACGCAGTCAGAGCCTATGCTTGGCAGGCAAACCAGGGCTTCCTCAGGTGATACCCCTCATCAGAAAACAGAATTATAAATGAAACCGACCGAAGTCCTCGCCAGCCTGTGCTGCTCTTTGGCGAAGCCCATTCTTCTTGTCCACCTACCCGAGTTGTGAGGGAGTCATCTGGAAACATGGAAGTGGCCGATATGCTGGCATTGGCAACTGGATAGTGGCCAAGAAAGCTTACCGTTAGCCTCCGCTCATATTGACATACATTAAAGCCATGTCATAGGCTCCCTCCCTGAACCAAGCTCCTTCGTAAGTCTCGCGATCTTTATTGCAAGGTCTCTGCCAGCCCTTGCTCTTTGCAACAGAGCCTCGGCGCGCTCTACGGGACAGTCTGTTCCGGTTGAAGGAGTGTTTTTTTGCAGTCCCTGTACCTTGGCACCCATATCATCTTCACATTGCCCTATCTACCCCCATCAAAGCCCCCAGCATACCTCTAACATATGTTGATGGAATGCCGGGCTGAAAGCCCATCGGTGGAGGGGTGGATCTAGCGCTATGCCCGTTGGCTCCTGAAGACTTGCAAGGATTGATGGGAGGGTTTGGGATTGGAGGCAAAGGCGAGTCCTTTTTCATCAGGTATGGCATGGTTTTTCAAGTTCCCAACCATCAACCCCAACCAGTAGTGACCGCATAAACTTCAGGGGAACATGTGGCAGCCAAGGAATTCAGTGCAGCGGCTGACCAGGACTTGCTTGGATCAATCATGCTTCATTGCTTCGGTTCCTGTTGGCTTAGGCTTATGCAAGAGAAAATGGAATGTATTACAATTTAATAGGGTACATGCTCAGCAGCAGCCTTGTCGTGCTGCTGCGGTTTTGGATTGCAATTCTTATTTGCATTCTGCCTGGAATTATAAATGAAATGAAAGGATTGCGATAATTTTCGTTGATAGTACTCTTCCTGTTGCCACCTTGCTCCTGCTGCTGCAGCTGCCTGCCGTTCCTGCCGAGAATATAGCAAACAGAACTCAGTACTGATCACGATCCAGGCCGCAAACGGCCCCACTCAGACAACCCAAGCGAGTCATGGCCTCAATGCTGGGGCCGGCATTTGAGGGCATGGGCTAGGCCAACCCTTTTGCAACTACAGCTGCGAGTGAAGTCCCGTGCATTTGCCATGAGCTTGGCAAAGAGGAAGTTTACCCAGTTGACGTTGTTGCGCGCTTTGCATGCCTCCTGGAACCTTGCTGCAGACTTTCGGCACGCAGATACTTTACGCTACTAAGCCATCATCTGGGAAGGTGTACGTGTACATGTGACTCTAAGCCATGGTTCTGGCTTTCATTCCGTTCTTGGCAGCAGTGGCTGCCTCTTCCTCCATTTCTGAATGCAGTGGTGCGACCTGCTTGCGGCCACGAATGGGTCGTGGAATCTCGCTTTTGCAGGCTTCTCGCAACAAGTCTGCGTTGGTGCCGGCGACAGCGGAGAGTTCATTGAACTCCTCAAAAGCACAGAGCGCATCAAACTCTTCAAAGGCACATACTTCAGTGAACTCTTCGAAAGGACAGAGTTCATCAAACTCTTCGAAAGCACAGAGTTCTTTCAATTCTTCCCAAGCACAGAATTCATTGAACTCCTCCACCCTCACTGATGCCGTGGCCGCTGCAGAAGCACTGGGCAATGCTACAGAGCAGGCGATATCAGGCACTTCCACTTCAGCTGTTGGCGATGACAGCACCGTGGCTGTGAACCTGAGTGAGCCTGGAGTGTCAGTGAATTATTCCGAAGTCCTCGACCCTGGCAAGCAGCCCGCCTTGCGAGCACCTTACACGCAGCAACAGAACGAGACCGTGCCCATCATCAAACCCATCAAAGGAGCTGCTCCGCTGCCGGAACCCGAGGCATCAAACATTACCGCAGCCATGCGTGACTGTATGCTGGGAGACTGGGGCGAGTGGTCCGAGTGCGTCTCAGATGGGGCATCAGGCTTTGAGGGCCCGCATCAAATGAGGCGACGCTCCGTTATCCAGCCATGGCTCCCCGGTGGATCGCGGTGCGGCTCAACACAGGAGGTACAGGGCTGCAACCTGATCAGCGCAGCGAACACCATAGTGAACTTGAATGTTGGATGACAGGACTGTGAACCCAACCAGGCTGCTCAACTGAAAACATGCCTGCCGTGTGGGTGCAGAGGCTTCATGCGGCGGCCAGGGCGTGCTTCTAGAGTCATGCTTGCTACATATATTTGAGTATCATAGTGGGGGTTAGTAGCTCTCCATAGTCTGTCTTCATGCAACTGTAGGTCGAGACTTCGTGCAAGCAGGTGCCGCGCTCGGCAAGATCATGACTGCATAGGACTAATTTCAACACGGCTCCTGCTGCCTCCCACAGGCTTCATGTTCTTGTTCCCCATCTTTTTTCTTCGCTGGATTTCAAACGACCCTTGATGTCCCATTGCTTTCGATACAACACTTTATTCCCATGCTCCCTATATTCCCCTACCACCTTGGATGTCTGCTTGCGCTTTTCGAGATTTTGGCGAAGATTGGGGTACTGTCGCAGAAGCGCTGCTTGAGGCTGGCGCGAACGGGGATTCTAGCGAACCTAACCCCTAAACATAATTGGGTCCTTACTGCGGTCACATGCTAAGTATACAGTCCGTGTCATAGAGGAGTTGCTAGCTGCTAGTCATGGGCATTTTCTTGGCTGGCAGGGTTCAAGTAGCTAAGCAAGTTTGGACAGCTGCCATCCATTATTGTGCAGACTGGCCGACACAACATGGGCTCTACTGGGTGCATTCTTTCAATGGTTACCGTGGGCCTATGCCGGATGGGTGCTAGGGTTGCGGGCAAGGCTTGATAGATAGGAAGAGGCTCACGCAAGAACGAGGAATCTTCTATGAGACGCGGTGTGGGAACAGCAATGAATCTATGCATCCTCTTTCGCAGGCTGAAAGAGCGTTTTCGGGACTTTGACCGCTTGCGGAAAGGAGCGCGACACTTGGAGCAAGAGCTGAGCATCGGAAATGGGCCGATAAGGTGCTTGCGTGGTAGCATACTCCATCCCGTTTGGTGTCCTCTGAGAATCTTTATATACTGCACAGCGGCAAAATACTTTTCTGGCCACAGCACCTCTGCAATGTGGACCATGCGTGTTCATTATGTTAGCGGTAATCTAAACTCCTTGAAGGCGTCGTGGAAGGGATTATAAAGGGGGCTAGTATGGGAGTCATAAAGGGGGATACTAGGAGCTTAGACCCTAAATCTTCAACCCAAGGGTTTTCAAGGGAGGTACTAGGAGTTTAGACCATGGCCCCTGTTAGCTGGCTGACATTGCAGAACAGCTACAAGGTCGTGCCGCGATGCCAGATGAGATCTGCGCAATGATCTCGGGACATCATCTCTAGTATATACCCTATTATGATATGGGGTTTCCTTAACCCTAGTATATACCTTATTACATATATTTAATATAATACCACGCCGTTATATACCCTATTTTGCTATTGTATAGTATAACTACAGAATAACCCTCATATAAAGCCCTATTATACTCTAGTAGTTTCCATTTTCTTTTCGACTATCCCTATCGTCCCAACAGTTGACCCTTGTTTTGTTTGATTTTGATGTTTCAGCGCCAGTCGCTGCTTGTATTAACTGGTGCATCATGGTGTGTAGGGGTTATATTAGGGTTCCTTTGTAAGGCAGATACCAGGAGTTTAGACTATAGAAGACTATAGTTCATATGATTACCTGGGCATGTAGGCATATCACCCCAATAATGGAGAATCAAATGGTAAGTAAAGCAAAACGTGAGCTGGTACTGTAACTGAAATCGTATAGGTGAACCACCATTAAGGTTGACCATCGCTGGACTGGATCTACCAGCTGTAGAGTGACAGCCTCAAGCACATTCTGTGGTTGCACTGCTTCCAGCTGACACGAGTGGTAACTCTGCCTGCAATTAGCAGCTGCACCGACAGGCTTGAAGTGCTGGAAGATACCTACAGCGCCCTTGGCCCAGGCCTGCGGCTCAGTGAATTGCAGGCGATCACCTTGGTAATATTATTGATAGTAATAGTAATTATATTATAGCTATATTTATAAATAATGCTAATAGTAATGATATTATAGACCACAGTCTTCCGCATTCTTTGACCGTTAGTGTAGGTGACGGCCTCATGCATGGTCAGCTCGCGGACAGGCGACGGCAAGAACGACCCCAAGACGTTCTTTCGCTACAGGGACTTCTGCGCAGACGTCTCTTTGGAGGAGGCTCCTCACTCGTGTTCTGCTTGCGACTCCATTCACCCCGTTCCCATGGTGCATCCCCTGGTGACTTGGAGCAGGCTTCAAAGCAGAAGAAGGACAACAGCAGGCTGCAGGGTCTGCATGTGTTTCAGTTCGCATTGTGTTCGGTCTTGATCTGCCACTCAGCCACTTGCACAGGCCGATCAGCGGCACTCCCCTGACAAAGCTTATCACCACCATCAAGGCAAAAGCGCGGCCCAACTCTGAGCATAAGTGGGCTTCGATGCCAACCTACCCTGCAGTCCAGCACCACTCTCATGGTAGGAGATGGAGGAAAAAGCACCCTGCTCTGAGCGCTGAACTTTCCAAAACCCCCAACCCATCCTGAATCCCCTAAACATGCCATTCTGCTCATGATTCAGTAGAGCAACTATATGGAAGTATGCATTTACTTATAGATACATACATAAAAGCTCGAACTCCCTGTGCTCAAGGAGCCCTCCACAATTGACCGTAGCACTGAAAGGTCTCGGCGGCTGGAGCTTCTCAGCGCGTTTGCTGACAGGCTCCCACACCCTCACTGCCACAAAAGCAGCTCTGAAAGGGGTGAGTTTCAACATTTGTAAAAATCCTTCAAACGCCTGCCACTCTGACGCATGCGTGGCCGGCAGTCCTGACAACTTCCTATGTAGATGACCTGGCCTCTCTGTCCCTCCTGAAGCAAGGCCCTTCTCATAGCGGGTAGGATGGCTGGTATATGGAAGTCTTAGCAATGCAACTGCTCAGAGGGGATTCCGCATGGCTTGATGTGGTTGTTGCATTGTCTCACAGGTTCCACCAACCAACAAGTCCTCGAAAATTCCCTGGGGGCCTCCTGCGCTTGTACCTTGAAAGGTCAAAGCATAGCACACCATTCTTGTAACTTTACATGCCCTAATCCCCTATCGCCAATCACCAATCATTCCCTTCTGCAGCCGTGGCCCTGAACTTAGCTTAGAGTTCATTTGCATAGAGCGTTATACATTTCAGACGCAG